AGAGGTGAAATCAGGGAAGGTCCACTGAGTACCAGGGGGAGATCGAGTCTGGAGCAAGATAAGAGGAAGAAAGATGTGATGGAGAAAAGTCCAGAGACACCCAACAAGATCTGGGAAGCCACTTAGGATCAAAGATTTCAAGCTGGACGGGAACTTAGAGGTCATTTCTAACATGCCTGCATTTTACTTGATGAAGAAATCAAGGCTGAAAGAAATTAAGTGACTTGGCCAGGAGATGCTTATGGGGGAATCAGTCCAAAAGACAGTTGGTGATACATGAGTGTGGCTCTACACAGAGACTCAGGCTGGACAGATATAGAAGAAAATCTTCTGGTGCTCTCTCTACTCCGCCCCACAGCCTCTCCTTTTGACAATATGCTTTTATACAAAAGGGGGAAAACATAAAGAATCCTGTTAGAGGGGAGTAAGAAGAAAGCCAGATCTGGAGTCAGATGGCTTCAGTTTCAAATCCAGCTCAGTTACTACCTATAATTCTGTTCTAAAAGTCTTAATGCAGTTGTAAACCAGCGAAGCTCAAGCATCTTGTAATTACTCACAGCTTCTCCCTGGATCTCAGTTTTCTCAACAATAAAATGAGAGAATCCGACCATGTGACTCTGAGGTCTCTTCTAGCCCCAAATCTAGGGTCATGTGATTGTATAGGGATAACAGTGATCAGGGCAGGTAGGTGGTGCAGTGAATAGAGCAGTGGGCCTGGAGTTAGGAAGATGAGAGTTCAGATTTGGCCCCCAACATATATTAGCTGTGTGGCTCTGAGCAAGTCACTTAATCCTATTTGCCTCATTTTCCTCATCTGTAAAACAAGTTAAAGAAATGTTAAAACCACTCTAATATCTTTGCCAAAAAATCTCCAAATGGGGTCACAAAGAGTCAGATACAATGAAAACAACACAATAACCACAAAATTGATAAGGTGCTTGCTGGTACAGACTCGCAAAATTCCTTAGCAAATGCTTTGGATCAGTGCTATTCTTGCAAGGACTATATAATAACATGTCAAAGTGGTTAGTAGGGCAGCATAGTGGAAATAACCTTGGATTTGGTGTTAGGAGACACCAGGACCCAGCTCCTGATGCTGGCATTCACTAGCTGTATGAACACAGGTAAATCATTTTGTCTCAGTTGCAAAAAAGAATAACACCAGTAATCCTCAAAGGGTTGTGGTAAGGCTCAAATATGATCCAAGTGCTTCTCAAACCTCAAAGGAAATCAAAAGACATCACTACAAATTTGCTTACAAAACAAACAAACAAACAAACACCTTCATGGGCAGTATAAACATCAGCTCTTGCAGTCTGTTGTCTATTTTCAGAGGGTGTTAGTAATTCTGTATCAATTCTTTTGGAATTGTGTGCACAAGAAAAAGCCCTGTTTAGACCACAACTGGAGTATTGTGTTCAGTCCTGAGTGGTCTATTTTAGGGGCTGCATCCATACCTCTGAAGGAGTCCAGAGGAGGACAACCAGCTTGGGGAAATGCCTGAACCTCATGATGTATGAAGACCAATTTAATTAATGGATCAAAAGAGACTTTAGTATTAAAAGAGCAACCACAGAGTGTAGAGATTGCTTTTATTCTCTGTGGCCCCAGAGGACAGTTAAGAACAATGAGACAACGTTGAAAAAGGCAAGTTTAAGCTTGACCTAAAGAAACATGCTTAATGATTCCAGCCATCCCAAAGCAGAGTGAGTCTCCTCTGGAGGTGCTGGTTTCCCCCTTATTGAAGATTTTCAGGTAAAGGTTAGATAGGCCTTTATAAGTTTTATTGTAGAGGGATTTCTTGTTCAAATATGGTTTACACGTGATGGCTTCTGAGAGTCTGTGCCTAGCAGAACGACCCAGAACCAGAATTTCTAATGTGTGATGTCCAAAAGAAAGAGCAATGGGTCTGGGGCCCAAGGATCAGGATTAGAATTCAAGCTCTGCCATTTTCTACTTGTGTGACCCTGGACAAGCTGACTGACCTTTCTAGGCCTCACTATCCTCATCAGTAAAATCAGGGGGGTAAATTTGGTGTTCTCTATGGTTCCTTCCAACTTTCAATCTATGATTCCAGAATCTCCCCATTTTGTAGGAAGCTCTCTCCATATGGACACCCCTCTCTCTGAGTAGTGAATATAATGACTTCTCAAGTGCAGCTGTCAGCTTTACTCCACTAAGTAAAAATCAAATCATCAAGGCAAGGCCCCTGAGGCACTTTGGTGTCATTACATTTTTTGGGGGGGGGAGGAGGGGGATTATTTTGTGATCTTTCGTAAATTCATTGAAATAAATCCATCTGTAAGCATATCCTCTTCAAATTTAAATTCTTATGAAAGTATTTTAAAATGTCTGTGATTATGCATCTACCAGGCAAATGGTATAAGGCAACCCAGTTGTGAATTTAATAAGTAGAAAGGTAATAAAGCATTCTGACATGCATTTGAAGAGACTTGAAACTTCATGACTGCTATTCTTTTCAGCACAGCCAAACCCGCTCACCCCCCAACCCCCACATTTTTCCTTCCTTTTTGTACGTAAGACACCCGGTAACCTCTAAAGCTATACTCATCTTTTTGATTGTCACAATCCCAAAAGGCATAAAATATCTTTCCTTTCATCTTAGCACCATCACATACCTTTTCTAAGCCTGTAATTGGATCCTAATGGAAAATCCACCCTGTGTAGGCCAGGGAAGTTGGCATTTGAGGGTGGCAAGGAGGAGAAAATGTTCTTCTTCTAAGCCAGATAATCCTGTTTTCCCGTGCAAAAGAAAACAAAATTTCCATACAGAAAACAAAATGGGGCTGCACCAGGGCTGTCTGCATGCTGCTGGAGCAGGCTTGGGCCTGTCACCCTTAGGAGCAATTAATTGGCTTGGGCCAAAAGATAAAATTACAAAATTTCTAGAGCAATGTGCTCTTCCTCTTAAATTGCTATTTTCACTAGGTCTAGGGAGGAAGTTTGGGCAGAAAACATCCACTGGTGGAACAATCTTTCTTGATTCCCTACCCCCCAAAACAAAAACGAAAAGATGATTACTACATCACTACTTGGACTATGTATTTTCCCCCACAGGTTGGGCATACGTGCTCTAATTTGGGGTCTTTAGACATTTATCGAAGTAATGTGGCAAGCTGCATCCCACTGCTGACACTAGCTCTGTGAGCATGGCAAAGTAACTTTACCTCTTTAAGTCTCGATTTCCTCATCTGTAAAATGGGGCTAAGAACTCTATTTCAGAGAGCTATTGGAAAGGTCAAAGAGATAAGTAAGGTGCTTTGTAGACCTCAAAGTGCTCCATGTCAATGCCTTATGATGATTTACCAACATCTATTATTATTTGTCCAATTCTCTTTTTGAGGAGTTCAAACAGATTTGATCTTTGGACAGCTATCCTGCTGTTCTATGTGATGTTTTGTAGATTTTTGAGCAGGTGGATAAAATGCCTGCTATTCTGTAATGGAATCAAGGTTTTGTCATATCAGATAATAATGATTCTTGTTGTTGGCATTCCAGATCATGAGTGTTCCCAGTATAATTCATAGATTCTGTATAATTTGTATGGATTATAGGTCTATAGGTCCCAGTATAATTTATAGAGTCTGGTCTATAAGTTTTGGAGAAGCCTTTAAGCAGCACACAATCAGGTAGAGGGGCTGCAGCGGCTGTTGGCCCATAAATGGGATTCTTCAGTGAGCCATCTCCGGGAAACTTGCCTCCTTATGGATCTTTGAAATCTGTGGATCGTTCCCTTTGCAGGGTCCATAGCAAGGAGGTGCATTGACTAATTGGGGGGAGGTAATTTCTTTTACACATAATACCTTACACTCTTGCTCTAGAGATTAAGAAAAAAATTTTTTTTTTAATTTGGTACCTATTAAGCTTCCACCTTCTCTCGTTGCCCAAGTTCCCTAGTGAATTCTACGCTTTCCAGTTTTAGTGAGGAGCATTGGAAAGAACACTAGTTTTAGAGTCAGAAGGCCAGAGTTCAAATCCTGCCGTTTGAAAGATGGTGACAAGTTGTCACTTCTCTCTCTGGCTCCCAGTTTTGTCTTCTAAAAATGAAGGGTTAGAGCAGGTGAACTGTTAGGCTCCTTCCAGTGCTTGACCTTACATGGTGTCACATAGAACATGGGTGTCCACAGTTCAGAGTTCTAGTCTCTAGCTGGTTCTAGTCATCTAGCAATGTGACCTTGGGTAAGTCATATTTTGTCTTAGAGTCTCAAAATCCTCAGCTGGGAAATAAGAGGGTTCAACTAGACGCTTCCTATGGCCCCTTCCTTTTCTCCCTAGCATTTTGTGATTTTCAAACTTTTCCTTTTCCTTTGACCGTGGTCCAGGTAAACAGCATATTTTTGAACCACAGGAACAAGCAAAGCCCTCTTCCTCAGCTTGATTTCCTGTGACCTGTGATTCTTTACACACTGCCTGCTGGGCTTCTGGCCAGCCTTTCTCAAGAGGGAAATGTGCAGACCCCGGGGACAGAAGTGAGTTCCCTTGTGCTTGAATTGCTGCTCCAGCTGCCAATGTCAGCCACTGAAGAAGCAGTTTTGGCCATGACTGGAGTGAGTGAAGGAGAAACCCCAAGGATGAAAGCAAAGGGAGAATTTCCCTTTTGGCAAAACACACTTTCAGTTTGAAAAATGAAAAATCTGTTCCTGCCTCCCCAGTGCTGGAGAGTAGGAGAACAGACAAGTTTCATTTATCAGATTAAGAGCTTCTGTTTAAACTTTCATGAGGGTAGTGATGGGAATCAGATCACCTACAATGACCTAGTAGTTTGGTTTTCAGTGACTGAGAACTCCTAGATTTGGGAGCCCATCACCTCGGTGCCCAGAGGGAGCTGGGACTTTTCAAGGTGGCATCGGGTTTGGTGAGAATCAGAGAGGGGAAAAAAAAATCAAATACTTGATCATCCTGAGAATTCCAGGTAAGCTTCAGGAAAGTGGAAAGGTAGGAAAAGAAAGTTAACCAGGGAAAATAAAATCTCGACTCACCTTTTGGACTGCAGGGTTCAGCTCCATCGCCAGCTTTGTCTTTTCTTCTTGAACAGAGGCAGGTTCAGGTTTTTCAGTGCGATGGATTGAGAGCGCTGGGAGCTGTGAGGAGCTCTTGTGACAGCTCTTCTTTGAATGACTGATGTCTGGGAGATGTTGAGAGATGGATAATAATACTCCAGTTCCAGTTGTGAGCTCTGCACCCAGCCAGTCTGATTCAGTCGGCTTTAATTGGAGAACAGGACTCCCTCTAAAACCTTGCCAGCCAATCGCTGAGGACTTGCCAACTTTTCCGGCCAATCCCAGGGTGAGGCTTTGCTCCTACTGTCACTTTGCCTGGGAGGCAGAGAGGAGAGGGGAGAGGTGTCACCCAATCTGACGTCAGGCTCAGGAAACTGAGCCAGCTGCCTGAGGCTTGATTCACATCTGTCCCACTGGACTGGGAGCTGCCGTGTGTGGAGAGAGACGGGAATTCACACTAAAACATACCCAGCTCTCCCCTCCACCCTCAGCCCCACCCCACCCTCTGCCATTGCCTTTAAAGGAAAAGAGAGGGGAGGAGCAGTGGTTTTAGTAATTCATTCAGGTCAAAAGGGAGTGTGATTTGACCAGGAAAACACGGGTATATTTAGTTAAGTCGATCCAAAAATAAACTCTGAGCCAAGCCCCCCTTCCCACCATTTCTGACTTATAGAAGAGGGGTAAGGTTTGCAATCTTAGGGTTGACTCAAAATCTACTAATTTTTTCCAAGGCCTGGTAACATTTTCTGGTAATCTGGGAGATACAGCCCTGGAGGTGATTTACAATTTGTTGGAAAAAGAATGAGGAGCAAGTAATTACAAGACTTGGCAGGGATGACAGATCTCCTACAGATAATGTCACTATGTGAGCCAGTTCCTTGGTTCATGGATTCCACCGGCAGGCATCCCATTCATGAGAACGGTGGAAGGGCTCGATTCAATTCAGTTCAATAATTCACCTCCACAAGCAGGCACCGAGCCCCCACTACATGCAGGGCTCTGGACTAGTGGTAGGGATGTAAAGACAAGAATGGGACGCTTCCTACCTGTGTGTTCACATGACATGAGACAAAAATGTTCACAGATCGAGTTGGCACCTCCGAGGACATTGAGTTCAACCCCTGAATTTTACATATGAGGAAACTGAGGCCCACGGAGGTGAAATAACTTTCCCAAAGTCACAGAGGCAGTCATCGTTGGAAACAGGATTTGAACCTAGGTCCTCTGACTCCAGTGCTCACATCATCATACCTTCCTGCCTCCCTTACATGCATACTCTATTAAAATCACTTCAAGGGGGCAGCCTGGTGTTACAGTGGATAGAACACCGGCCCTGGAGTCAGGAGAACTTGAGTTCAAATCTTGCCTCAGACACTTGACACTTAATAGCTGTGTGACCCCGAGCAAGTCACTTAACCCCATTGCCTAGCAAAAACAAACAAACAAACAAAAATCATTTCAAGAGGGAGCAAACACTAATAATGGGATGTAACAGGAAAAGTCTCCTGGAGGCAGTGGCAGCTGAGCTGTGTTTTGAATGAAGCAAGGGAGCCTGCAAAGAAGATGAGAGAACGGGGAGTAGTTCAAGCTGATTCAACACAATCATTATTTTTTGCCATAGGAAATGTTTTTCACTTTAGGAAATACCGCTGAGTAGATTGAGAGGAAAAGTCATGGAGAATGGAGAAGGGTGTGGTGGAGGAGGGAAGAAAAATATTATTTTGAATTGGTCTGCTATAGGTGGCACAACTAGGACCTTGTATAAGGGGGCGTTTCTCTAATTCTTGGGATGAGACTTGCCTGTTGCTATTGGGTTAGCTGCTTCTGTAAAATAAAGCCAGCAAACCCTTGTCTTTTTATGCCTCCTTGTGCAGTGATGGGTCATCATTTTGCTTTTAATGAGTATCACAGATACAGGCCCCTGTATTTTTTTTTCCCTTCCCAGACAGAGGATTAAACCCAGACCCCTTTAATCCTGGTGAGGGAGAACATTTCTGTCTATCTTCCTTCCCTAGTCCTGATTGGAACCTGGCACTGCCACCTGTCTGCCTCACTCCCTTGCCTGAAATTAGTGATTCTCAAGGGGCAAAACACCTAGGATATGAAACCTGCTGTTTAACTGCTCTCCGAGATGAGTTGTTCATTAGAAGAAGAAGAAGAGGAGAGGTTGGGGTGGGGGGTGCAGGGGATGGAGAGAACTAGTTTTGATAAATGCATTTTCTTTAGAATCCTAGATTCCTTGCATGTATCATTCCTTCTCTCTAAAAAAAAAGTTTTATTGATGCTTTAAAAACAACAACATAGTATTCACTTCTCAATATTCATTATCCTATAAAACCCTTCCTTGTTACAAAGTATATTAATGCAATGGTACATGATCCTATGTGATATTATATGTTTCATTCTATAATTGTGCCCTTCTCTCTGAGAGAAGACTAAATAATAATCGATAGCATTTATACAGCACTTTAATGCATGCTGTCTCATTTGATTCTCAAAATAACCTTGGGAGGTGGGTGCTATTCTTATTCACATTTTACAGATGACAAAACTGAGGCCAAAGGAGGTTAAAAATGACTTCACCAGGTTCACACAGCTAGGATTTGCCTCCTGCAGGATTCTTCTGACTCCAGGTTCAGTACTCTATCCACTGAGCCTCCTAGCTGCCCATACATTAACAGTGTTTTATGGTCAAGGTTGGTCATTCCATTGGGCAGTGTCTTTTAGGGTTCTTTACCTTTATTCTGTGGACACATTCTTGAAAGACGCTTTCAACAGTTGATCACCTTCTCTCAAAATTGGCAATGGTTGGGTCAATGGTTAGGCCACCTTTCCCTTTTTTTCATAGGTCATCCCTAATGATTCTTTTGATGGCACTGTTTTTTTGGTAGGTGGAATTTTAAAAGCAGGTTGTTAATGACACCCATTCCTAAGTCAGAATGGCACAGTAGAAAGAGTTCTGGGTTCAGATCAGAGTATCTGGACTTCAGTGTTCTCTTCTTTAAAATGAAGAGGCAATTGAGCTAACTGACTTTATTTTTTTTTAAGGCAGTTGGGGTTAAATGACTTGCCCAGGGTCACACAGCTAATAAGTGTCAAGTGTTTGGTCTGAGGCCAGATTTGAACTCAGGTCGTGCTGACTCCAGGGCTGGTGCTCTATCCACTGTGCCACCTAGCTGTCCTGCTCACTGACTTTAAAACCAAGCAGCATTATTGTAGATTATTTTATTCCAATCAGTGAGCTAATAAATATTTAAGCAGAAGAAAACCCTGTTGCTTTGGTTCTATACTTTACTCAATGAAGAACTTTCCTGTCTTCTTATGTTGAAGTAAATTACTCTATTAGTAAAAGAGAGGGCTCACTGTAGAGCCAAGAAGGCCTACCTCTGACACATAGTAATTATGTGACCTTGGGTAAATCAATGAATCTCTCATTACCCTACCTAAGTCTCTAAGACCAGAAATCTTAGAAATTCACATAGATAATTTTTCTATCACTAACCAAAGTTTCTGTGGAAGGAGTTTCTATCATGGGTGCTCCTTATACTGATGAAATCACGGGTCTGGACTACTTCTCCCTTTCCCCCACCCCCCACCAAATGGGGTCTTATTAAATGGAATGCATATAGCTGAGCCAAGACAAGCATTGACTAATGAGGACAACTTCACCATGAATAGCCCTTTCAATAGCAGGGCCTAGGAACAGTGGCATCACACAGGCTAGAAGCCAGGAGCCCTTATATTTGGATCTGTCTTAAATGAATCAAAGAGAACATTAAAGTGACATTTTTCTCTGGTATCTTTACAAAATGAAAAACAAACAAGCTCTCAAATAAAGTTATTTTCCATCACCTCTCCAGCAATATTTCTTGCTCCACATCTCAGTTAATCATGATAGTAATAAAGACTGACCTTCATATAACAGTTTAGGTTTTAATAATACTAATAATGTTTACATAGAGAGCTAAGATTTTCAAAGTGCTTTCCCCATGTTATCCCATTTGATTTCAACAACCCTGTAAAGTATTATTATCCTCAATTTACAGATAAAGAAACAGAGGCAGACAGAAGTTAAGTGACTTGTCTAGGGATACACAGTAATTATCTGAGGCAGGATTTGAATTCAGATTTTCCTAAATCTAAGCCTAATATTCTAACCAATGAGCCACCTAGCTGCTTTACAACCAACTTTAGTTCATTATCCAGTTTGAGTTTCATAGTAGGTAGTTTTATTGTTGTTCATTTGTTTAAGTCACGTCTGACTCTTAGTGAATTTTCTTGGCAAAGATATTGGAGTGGTTTGCCATTTCCTTCTCTAGCTCATTTTATAGATGAGGAAACTGAGGCAAACAGGGTTAAGTGACTTGCTTGTCTGAGACCAAATTTGAACTCAGGTCTTCTTGACTCCAGACCCATTGCTCTATCTATTGTGCAACCTAACTTCCCAAGATAAGTAGTACAGAAATTATCATCTCTTATAATGGTAAAATGACACATAGCTAGAATGTGGGAGAGTCTGGGTTTGAACACTGATCATCTGACTATGTAACTGGAAGGAGCCTAAGAGGTCATTGAGTTCAATTTCCTAAATTAACCAGTGAGAAAACTGAGGCTGAGTGGGTGAAGTGAGTGAGTTAAGAGTCACAAAGCTACTACATGTCTGGGGAAGTATTTGAACTAAAGTTTTCCTGACTCCAACCTCAACAATCTACTTACCATACCATCTAGTTGCCCAAGATAAGAAAACTGGGGCACACAAAGGTTAAGTGCCTTGCCCAGGGTCACACAGCAAGCCTGTGTTAGAATTTCAACTCTTCCCAAACCTGACCAATTGCTTTTCCAGTACACCATGCAAGCTTGTCAATAACCCTATTCCCACATCTTAAATTCCTTTACCACACATGTACACAATCCTCCTTTAATCTATAAATCCCCCAGACTCATTAGATTAGGAAGACAAGTATTACTGTTCTCATTTTCCAAGGTGAGGTGCAAGCAAATGAATATGCATGGCATATAGTAAGTACTTACTAAATGCTAGTTTTCTGACTGCTATTGTTTCAAAAAGACCATTGGTTTTAAATCCTAACTTCTCTATATTATCACAATCCATTATGACACCATTTGAAATAATTCACATTTATATAGTGTTTTAAGATTCATAAAATGTTTTTTCTCATAATTACCATATATGATAGGGAGTATAAATCTTATTCTCTCCACTTTACAGATGAGTCAACAAGACTTAGAGCAGTCAAGAACCTTGTCCAAGATCACATAGCTGGTAGAAGCAGAGCCAGGACTAGAATGTTTAGTCTTCTAGCTCTTAGCTGAAGCATCTTTTCACTGCCTACAGCATAATACCTCACTGGAGTGTGAAAGGTACACTATGAACCCTAATACATCTCCAGAAACTTGAA